AACATCGTGAATATAAGGCACGCCACTGAGTTGCACACTTAAAAGCGGTTATAATGGCACACTTTATTATGTACATCTTATTTGTAGAGATAAATAACATGTTTGATAAACCATCTCTTAGGTGATGCTGTATATTTCCTGCAGCATCACGGATGCATCACAAAATCTAGCTCAAACCAGATCCCTTGGTGTGTTATGTGTGCTGCCCTGGCCCTTCCTCCCCGGGCTGTTGTTAGGTGCCATCAAGCTGGTACTGACTCATAGTGACTCTGTTCATAGAACGAAACACTGCCCAGCCCATGCCACCGTCACAAGCATTGCTATGTTAGAGCCCTTTGTTGCAGTCCTTACGTCCACCTATCTCATTGAAGGGCTTCCTCTTGTTCACTGACCCCACACTTTAGCAAGCATGACGTCTTTTCCAGGGATAGGTCTCTCCTAATCACATGTCCAAAGTACATGAGACACGGTTTCAACATCCCTGCTTCTAAGGAGCATTTTGGCTGTACTTCTTCCAAGACAGATTTGTTCATTGGGCTGGCAGTACATGGTCTAATCAATATTCTTCACCCACAGCATGATTCGAAAGCATCAATTCGTCTTCAGCCTGCCGTATTTGTTGTCCAGGTTTGACATATATAGGAGGCAATGGAAATACCATGGCTTGGGTCAGTTGCACCTCATCCCTCAAAGTGACATCTCTTCTTTTTTAACACTTTAAAGAGGGCTTTCTCGGGTGACTGGTCCAGTGCTATATGTTGGTTGATTTCTTAACAGATGTTTCCATGAACATTATGGTGGATCCAAGTAAAAGGAAATCCTTGATAACTTGAATCTTTTCTCCGTTTATTATGGTTTTGTCTATTAGTCTAGTTGTGAGGACTTTTGTTTTCTTTCCATTGAATTGTAAACCATATGGCTTTGAGCTTCATCAGCACGTGCTGCAAGTCCTCTTTGCTTTTGTAAGAAAGTGCGGTTGGAGGGGGTGTCAGCCCCCCCCCCCACTAATCACGGGTTCAGTAGGCACAGTTGTACGGTTAAGATATATAAAGATTATATTAAAGTCATCGAGAGCATGAGAGAGAGATGAGAGATTGGAATAATGGAGTCAGACACATTTCATGGTAGCATGCTCACCTCCTGGATGGCCATGATCTTACCAACCAGGTCCACGCACAGTGTGGGCTGATGCTAGGTGGGGCAGGGACCCGGCAGGATGCTGGAGAACCTGGCAGGAGGTTGGAGGACTCCATTAATTGCTAACCCAGGGTTATATCTACTTAGGGGGGCGTGATTACAGGTAACCACATGTCACAGGAAGGGGCAGTACCATAGGGATACACATTATAGGAAGGGGATGTACAATGGGCATAGGCGTAACAGAAAGGGGATGAGCTAGGGCTGTACACATGATAGGGAGGGGCGGAACTAAAGGTATACATGTGACAAGAAGGGCGGACCCCAGATTCGTGATGGCTGCCTAACCTTGATCACCATTGGGTGGGCTTGATCTCTCTGGGGTCTACTACAAGGAAACAGTCAACTACTATCCTTATCAGAAGGAAGTGGGCCCTACTTGTTGTGGGATAAATAGTGGTGACGGCTTGGTCTAGATGGCTGATAACTCTTAGGGAGAATAACCCCTGATCTACTTCTGATGACCTCCAAGTGTATAGTCATTTGCAAGCAGCTAAGTTTGGCATATATTTGGGGGAGACAACTTGGGAGAAATCCTTCTGTTTCCCACAAGCAAGATTGTGTCATCTGTGTGTCACAGGTTAATGAGCCCTCCTCCCACCCTGAAGCTGTATTCATCTTTGGACAGTCTAGCTTCACAGATGATTTGCTGAGCAAACAAAGTATATTCATGGCAACACTATATGGCACAGTAGAACTGTTCCATAGGTTTTTCTAAGCCATAGTCCTTACAGGAGGAACCCTGGTGGTGCTGTCAAGTTAGCATTGGCTTGCTAACCTCAAGGTCTGCAGTTCAAACCCCACCAGCTGCTCCTAAGGAGAAAGATGAGGCTATCTGCTCCCATAAAGATTTATAACCTTGCAAGCTGTATATAGGGTCTCTATGAGTCTGAATCAATGCAAGAGCAGTAGGTAGTCTTTACAGGAGCAGACACCAGGTCTTTCTCCCATGGGTTCAAAGCATCTGCCTTTCGGTTAGCAGCTGGTCATTGTACTATGACCTAAAGAAAACAAAAATCCACTCCCAATGAATTGATTCTGATTCATAGTGCCCCCTATAGAGACTGTCTGGCATGTTGTTAAATGTCATCTGGTTGATTCTCACATATCCAGCCTGTGTATTAGACTGACAGACTATGCAGCCCGGTGCCGGCCTCAGTGGTGCCTATGTTTGACCCTATTGCTGCAGCCACTGTGTCAACCTATCTCCATCAGGAGCTGCTGCTTTCTTTCTTCCTGCCCCTCTGCTTTAGCGACTCTAGGAACTGGTCTCCTGATCACATGTCCGAAGTAGGTGAGACAACGCCTCGCCATGCTCGCTTCTGAGAGCATTCTGGTTGTACTTGTTTCCAAGACAGATTTGTCTGTTCTTTTGGCAGTTTGTGGCACTGTCACTATGCTTTGCCAGCATCACAAGTCAAATGCATTGATTTTTCTTCA